TGAAAAGCATCGGTCTATCAGCGGCTGAAAAGAGTAGGAACCGGTGGGGAGCATTGTTGGAGACTGACTATGGAGGATGATGAATGGACTTCTTTAGTTTGTTTTGTGTGATTTGCAGCATTATTTGAATTAAGGGTACTATTGGGGTCTGATTAACTGCCTCTTTCTCTTGAGCCTACTCTAGAACCTACATTTCGTATTTAGAAGATTTTTATAAGTGAGCTGCTGGCCTGAGTTCCTCTGGTATATTAAATTAGAGTCAAACAGCACGTAATGATGTAAACAACTTCAATGACAGTTGTCCAGCAGTACTCCCATTTTATTTACAAAAATCCAATGCCTACGAGAGGTATGCCGAAGTAGTGTTGATGGATGTGCCCAAGCTGTGTCGAATCTAATTTCGGCACAATGTGCTGAGTGACTTACCCCTTAGTGTGAGCACTGAAATGATGATTCGCGGTAGTGGTAGAAGGGCTCTTCGCAATGCGCCGTGGTATGAGAGGAAGATGGACTTTGACGTCAAACTCCGTCATCCGTTTCATTGGTCTTTGTCTAGGGGCAAGCCAGCTGTACTCAAATTTAATATTTTTGCTCAGAGTAAATTTGAGTAACTCATAAGTACTCAAAAATGATCAAAGTGGCCTGGCCTTATATCCATCAACAAATACAAACTAGAGTATAAATCAACGTTATGTGTCAAAGGAGGAGGAGAATCAGAATGATTTTATTATATTCTTGTTATAAATCATTATTTAATCTATTGAATTCATAAACAGCATGACTCATACTGATAAGCGGAATCTAAGAACTTTGCTTTATGTAAAGGAAAACAAGGTAAAAATGCCATATACAAAGATGGCCTAAGAAGGAAAATGTCTCCGTATCACCCGGCAAGACGTGCTTTATGAGGCTTCATGTGCTTGAAAAAGCAGAGGTTCTGCATGTCTACACATTACAAATTTCAGCATCTCAAATAAACATGAATAAGTTGAGAATTCAAGATGGATGGGAGCTATATTTGGTTTGTTCGAAACATACAATTTTAAATATGACTATACGATGACAATGTATTGCTTTTTTATTAATCTCGGCTCGAACTTAGTGGCAAATAGAATTGCTTATAGTTAATTTTTTTTCTGAAAATCATGACAACCAGCAACCAAATTATTAATACAAGGATTATTTTTCTAGAATAGACTTCTCTGAATGCCCAAGTATTAGTGCAGAACTATGAGGTTGCTACCTCAACATTCTGCCCTAATTCTTGGGGATTCAGACAAAAGTCAGAGAATACTATTACAAAGCAGCAGTCGTAACTTTGATACCTCTCGAAGATTCAAACTGCGGTCAATTTAACCAAAAATGTACTTCAGCAAATTGTTCATATTTTGAATCTGCAAATGCTATGGACAACGTCGACCGATAACAGGGGCCACATTACGCATCTCTAAACGAAACACTTTTTCATACAAGCGTTCGTACAAAAAGTCTTTCGTTTCGAGATGCGCAATGTGGCCCCAGGCTGCACTAGATTCGGATGAAAACGGCTTACAAAGGATTGACACGAAGAAGTAGGAAGGCCATGGGACCTATGGATGTTTTTCCAGTGTAAACCACCTTCTGATCTCTTAATGTATACAGGTATTTCACTAAGATGCCCACATTTATCAGGATTCACCATTCGATAATGCGAAGCAGCAGAATTTAGAAATATTTATCACCGTTGAACGTCTTTGTTTGACAGTTCTGGAATAAACATAAAAAGGTTGCTGTGTTACCATGCATCACATGTTGAGCAACTCGAGTTACTCAGAGTTGCTCAAAATTAACTCAAATATTACTCACGATCAAAAGCTGTCTTGTCCCCAGGTCTTTGTCATGAAGCAGGATCTAAACTCCATTGATGATGATGATATTGAACTTCTTTCGGTTGGTCTGCTACAGTCAATTCTCCATAACTCTATGATCCCTTCAATATCAATGTATAAATTTCATTTTTATAAATGAAATTTAATAAATTCATGTTGATCTTCATCAAGTTTCGTCTACAATTTGGACTTCTACATCAACACATGTCAAGCAGCTAAACTTGGTGAGTTCATTCCATTCGGTAAATTTTTATCTTTTCAAACCAGTAACGTTGGAAGATCACCTTTTTGTGGTGCGTTACTGGTATAAGATCTACCACCTAACCCTAGCCGTGACAAATTCAAACTAGGGAATCAGGATTTTCCAATTATCAAAGGATAACATTTTATTCCTTGTTACTTTTTATGACTTGATAATAGTGACAAGACTCGGGTAGTGACCACCGCAGTTATGCATTTCTATATTGTATATTTGAAATCAAAAATATTGTTTGTGTTCATAGATTTCACATAATCCTTTTCCCTTTGTCCTTCTCCTCAGTGCTCATGTCCCAACCAGGGCGTCACAATATCAGCTTCAATCGACCAAATAGATGCGACGAAGAGACTGCTGGCTTTCTTTTTCTGTTAAAGTCGAACAGCTTCGCAGCATTCTAGAACCTCAGTCGGCGTGCACAAACAAATGTTCAATCGCTTGTCTCTCTTTCTCCCGTCGCTCCATTGGTCTTCCTTTCAAGCTTCGTCGAAATGGATGAGCGAAAGAACGCTCGAGTTTGATAGTTTTCTCTTTCATGAAACACATCAACAGAGGTTTCATGACGTATATGACGGAAAATGAAATAACACATTTAAAGCATTTCTCACGTCAAAACACTTGAAGATTACACGTCATATTTCTAATTTATCTTCCATCCATATATTTATCTAAAAAAAATGATCGAAAACGGGACCTAACGCATTTTAAACAAATTGAAAGAGCGGTGATAGAGTGTTCGTGAAAGGGGATTGAAAGCCATAATGAAGTTCGTTTAACTAGAAAATCGACGTTAGTTACATTGAAAGCTATGAGCAAAGCAACGACGAGAAGTTCCACAGCCAGCCTTTCCTTCTAAGCGTCCTTCTTTTTTATTTTCGTTTCTTGCTGATAGTCTAGCTAGGCGTTATAGAAATGAAGCGTCGAACACGTATGTATGAGAGAAACAAAACACGAGTTCATTTTAGAGCTTCGAAATTGTAGAGCCCTGGTCCCAACCGTCAGAAGAAAATGGAGCATCACTTAACTTTTCTAGCATTGATGCTTCCAACGACCAACCAAAATCGGAACGTACGGTACGAGATGACCATGTTTAATCTTCGATTAAAACAGGCCCGATGTTTTCTGAATCATCTTGCCCCTTAAATGCTGCACAGTAGGCCTGGCCGTTTTGATAAGTGTGACGCATCTTCGATGTGAAATATATATCGAATAGACAAGAAAAATGATGTAGGTATATATATAATTTTCCAGGATGCTTTCAAGAACTGGCTGTGTTGGTGTTAGATTAGATTAGATTAGAAATAAGAAAATAACCCAATCCTTCTGCGTGAGAGCCCTAGCAGGAACTGCTACCATAGAGGTAACTCTAAGACCATAAGGTCCCAAAGAAACGAGCTCAACTTTTTGGCTCAGCTCTGGTACTATCTTCGGTCCCAAGCTAATCGACTCACCCCTCGAAACATAGGAAAATCCACTAGGCCCTCATTTTATCTGTCAAACTTTCATAGCGAATCAAAACAAACATACAGGGTGCGTGACGAATTTTTGCAGTAAATGGCATATTTGAGAAAAATACACCAGTTAGTTATTCTAGCAATGAATTTTGTGCGATTTATTTTCTTTCACAACATATGGAAGTTGTAAGTAAATTTATTCAAAAAAATTGCCTTCCCTTTCGACGACTGTAGTTAGACGCTTCCGGAAACTGCAGTATGCACGTTTTAAAATGTTTCGATCCATAGATGTCATCACTGCCTTGATTTTAGCTTTTAGCGACTTTAAGTGTGGTGTGAGGGGTTCTATTGGTATCCCGTTGGACGACGCCCTATACAAAATAATCCAACGGATTGATATCGGGACTGCTTGGGGGCCAAATTTCTTCCTCCCAAATTTACGAAATATTTTCCGTAAGCCATTTCTGTGCTTTATTAGCAGTATGAGCATGTGCTCCGTCTTATCACTTTCCCAAGCCTTTTTTAATATTATACACTGTTCTTTCAGACACATTTACCGACCGAATTATTTCTTTCATGCATACTCCGGTGCGCAACAAAGCGACAACGGCTGACAGATTGCTCTCTTGTTTCGACATCTTTACGTTTACTCAACATTGTTTGTTTAATTCTTACACCTAACAGTATAAGCTATCCAGTGCTGCCAAATATATCTAAATCATGATGCACAAGCATGAGCAATTACTATTTGAAATTTACTGCAAAAATTCGTCTCGCACCCTGTAGTTAAGAATTTCGACTAGAATGGGGTACGTTAATCGATTTGCTTGGGACCAATAGGCAGTTAAGTAGTGAGCCAATTTAAAATTGTTAGTTTCCACCGGTTGATTGTACTGCGATTTGTAAATTTTCCAGGATCCAGAAAATTCACAGAAAATTATCAATTTTGTTTCTCATTTCGCGATACGCTAAATTCTGGAATAATTGTAAGCTTTAAATCTCGGAAACTAGATCCCCATTTCACTTGAAATTGCTACTGTTAGGTAAGGTGGAAGAAAAGTTCGTTTTGAGTTTCAAAAAAGTTGCGGTAATACCTACCTAAGTAAAAGAAATTTAAAGATTTTCATTATCAACGAAACCAGTTTGACCCAGATTTCGTAGTTTAGTTATCAATATAAATACATATATTAAAAAAATATAGTGACGCAAATTAATCTAATTTCATTCCATAAATGCCTCGTGTTCAATAACCACTGCATGCATAGCTCATAAAAATCATTCAAGCATAAAACCGCCACACTTCTGTCTAGCCGAGTCTTCGAAGTAAATTGAAAAACTAAACTCAATCCACAACTGCATTCTACCCTGAAACCACACATCAGTGCAGGTCCAACGCTCGAAACTATAACAATCAACCTGGCTATGGCGGTCATTTTAACGATCAACGGTCAATTGTACCACGGTGAGTTTATTGAAACACCTAAAGATTCTATTTGTGATTGCCTTTTTCATTGCGTCAAACTCAAGTCACCCCAGACATCATCCCGATCGACACCACACTGAACTCATTTATTCGAAACCATGCCCACCTGACCGGAACCAAGTTTATGTGTCTCGAAGGGAGCTGCGGTGTTTGTACGGTGAATGTGGCAGGAATCCATCCCGTCTCGAGGGAGTTAACGTCGTTTGCTGTGAACTCTGTGAGTAGATTTTGCGGTTGGGATAGAACAATTTATTTAATTGCTAATTGATCTTATTAGTGCTTGATGCCGGTGTACTCCTGCCATGGAATGGATATAACGACGATCGAGGGAATTGGATCGAAAGTCGAGGGATACCATCCTATTCAGCAACGACTTGCACGCTTCAATGGAACTCAGTGCGGTGGATGCTCTCCGGGAATGGTAATGAACATGTACGGACTGATGGAATCCTCGAAGGGCCAGTTAACCATGGAGGAGATTGAGAAGTCCTTTGCGGGGAATGTGTGCCGCTGCACCGGATATCGTCCGATAATGGATGCGATGAAGTCGTTTGCAACCGATGCCTGCAGTGCGTTGGTTGACAAGTGTCGAGATATTGAAGATTTGGGGGAAAATTGCAGCAGAAGCCGAAAATGTCAAGTCAAGTGCGCTAGAAGTGTGGAGAAGAAAGCACAGCACTTGTATTTTGAGGAAGAGAAAGAGTGGCATAAAGTTTATAGTGTTGATGAAGTGTTTGGAATTTTGAAAGCTATCGGTTGTAAACCTTATAGTTTGGTAGCTGGCTGTACCGGACAGGGAGTGTACCGTGATAGTGAGGATCTTAAAGTTCTTATAGACATAAATTCAATTGAAGAATTACATTCATACTGGATAGGAAGAGATTTGATCGTCGGAGCGAATGTTTCGCTTACTGAATTCACTGGAATTCTGAATGAAGCAGCACGGAGTGAGGCAAAATTTAAATACTGCGAACAACTGGCTAAGCACGTGGCCTTGATTGGTCAGGTGTCCATGAGAAATGTAGGAACGATTGCTGGAAATCTATGTTTAAAAAACAAACATCGAGGATTTAATTCCGATTTACATGTGATTTTGGCAGCAGTTGGAGCTCGGCTGACTATCAGTATAACATAATTTAGAATTTAATCGTATCGCCTTTTGACAATTATGCATTAATTTCAGCTAATTTAGATGGGTCAATCGATACCGTTAGCCCAGAGCAGTTTGTCAGGATGCATATGGACAAAAAAATGATCCTGAATATAACTTTTCCACCTATGCATGCAGATAATTATGCCTTCCGTTCATATCGTGTTGAACCGCGAGCTCAGAATGGGCGGCCCTACATCAATGGAGCATTTCTCGTACGATGGTGCGGCAGACAGCAAACCATCGAGTCAGCTGCCGTTTGTTTTGGTGGAATCAACCCAACCGTAACGTTGTTCGCTTTCAATGGTACGGTTTAGTTCCCGAAGGTCAGTTCTAATTGCATATTTTCATTTCATTCTAGTTTACTCACGCGATCGAAACGGAAAAGGCGCTATGCGGGAAAAATCCCTTCAACAATGACACACTCCAGAAAGCTCTAGCTGCCTTGGAATTGGATTTGAAACCTGTCTGGGACCCTTCCCAGGCTGATCCAGACTACCGTAAACAAACCGCAATAGGAATCTTTTATAAATTCATTCTGAGCATAGCTCCCAGGAAAGTGGTTGATCCAAAATATAAATCAGGAGCAACCAGCTTGGAACATCCACTATCAAGTGGATCACAATCCTACAAAACGTTCCCCCAAAATTGGCCTCTGACCAAAAACATCCCAAAACTTGAAGCATTTGCTCAAACTGCGGGTGAGGCAGCGTACATCAACGATATGCCCACAATGGCACATGAATTATTTGCAGCTTTTGTAGTAGCTACCAAGCCACGCACCTTTATCAAACAGATTGATGTAACAGAAGCCTTGAAGATACCGGGAGTTGTTCAATTTCTATCGGCGAGAAACATCCCTGGCAATAACAACTTCATGCCTTCGGTGATCAATGTTAATCATTACTTCCCGTATGGCGAAGAACCGGAGGAAATTTTCTGCACCGGAAAGGTACTCTTCCACGGACAACCAGTTGGAGTCATCTTGGCTGAATCCTTCCAATTGGCAAATCGTGCTTCCAAACTGGTCTGCATAGAATATTCAGAACAAGATGGGCCCATCTTACCAACTCTTCAACACGTACTCCAATCAAACGCCACTGATCGCATTGCTCCGGTGGGTTCACCCCAGACGGGCCCTAACTACGAAACATCCAGCGGAGGATATTACAGAATTTCTGGTCAAGTTTCGCTTGAAGGGCAGTACCACTACACTTTGGAAACCCAAACCTGCATTTGCGTTCCCAAAGAGGACGGCATGGATGTGTATTGCGCAACGCAAGACATCGACCACGCTCAGGTTACAATCGCCGGAGTTCTTAAGCTACCGCAAAGCAAGATCAACGTAATGTGTCGACGAATAGGAGGTGCATTCGGATCGAAAATCACTCGAAGCTCGCAGGTAGCTGGTGCATGTGCTCTTGCAGCCTACATAACTCAGCGCCCAGTTCGTTTTTGGCTTACAATGGAATCCAATATGGGTTCCTTCGGCAAGCGGAAGGGTAGCGTGAACAACTACGAAGTGTCAATACGAGGCGATGGCAAGATAGCAAAATTAACCAATACCTTTATTTATGACTGTGGAGCTCACTTCAGTGAACCTAATGCACCATTCTATAAGGCATATTTTCCAAACAGCTATGACAATTCAGCATGGAAGTTAATTCCAATGAAAGCTCGCACTGATGCACCCACAAACATTTGGTGTCGATCTCCGGGAGCCGCCGAAGCGGTTGCAACTATTGAAACCATAATGGAACACATCGCTTTTGAAAGAGGTCTTGATCCTCTGGAAGTTCGAATGGTTAATTTTGAAAAGAACAGTACACTTCGGGATCTGTTACCACAATTTAGGAAAGACGTAGACTTCGATAATCGTAAGAAGTCAATCGAAACCTTCAACGAAACCAATCGATGGAAGAAGCGAGGTATCTCGATCGTACCCTTGACATTTCCAATCGAATTTATGGGTGGCATGAAGGCTTGGGTTTCCGTTCACCACCTCGACGGATCGGTTTCCATTTGTCACGGTGGGGTCGAAATGGGTCAAGGGTTGAACACTAAAATGACCCAGATTGCTGCACACATCTTAGCGATTCCCATGGAAAAGATTGCAATAAAACCTCACAACACATTAGTGTCAGCCAATTCCTTCATGACTGCTGGGAGTTTTTCCAGCGATCAAGTCGGTCATGCTGTAATGAATGCCTGTCAGATTCTGGTTGATCGTATGAAACCTATTAGAGATGCGAATCCTAGTGCTTCCTGGGAGGTGTTGGTGAGCACATGCTTCACTTTGAACGTCAATCTTACTGCTTCGTATTGGTCAACCGAAAAAGAAGTCAAAAACTATAAAGTTTATGCCTTGGGATGTAGTGAGATTGAGCTGGACGTTCTTACCGGGAATATTCGAATTGCTCGAGTGGATATTCTCGAAGATACCGGTGAAAGTTTGAGCCCGGGTGTAGATATAGGTCAAATCGAAGGAGCGTTCATCATGGGCACAGGGTACTATTTCAACGAATCACTTCAGTATGACCCAGAAACGGGGGCTCTGTTGAACAGTAGAGCACTGTCATACAAGCCTCCAGGTCCGAAAGACATCCCAACAGATTTCCGCATAAAATTGCTGCAAAGTAGAGCGACTAGCCCAGCCGGAGTGTTGCGTTCTAAGGCTACTGGAGAACCAGCCTTTTCTGTAGCAGTTTCTGCCGTGTTCGCATTACGACAGGCACTCATGTCAGCTCGGAAGGATGCTGATTTGAGAACCGAATGGATTCCGTTGGGTATGATTTAGCCTATGTTTGAAATATCTTGAATTGAATCATTTTGGAACATTTCTTTTGTAACAGGACAACCAGCAACACCTGATCGTATTCTTCATCTAGCTGGAAATTCAACAGAACAGTATCTTCTCTCAAAATGTGCAGAAGCAATAAAGTAATTATGCAGAAATATTTCATGGTAGCTGATAATAAATTTATTAATAATAAGACCCGCTAAATAAACCATCAATGTCAACCTAACACTTTGTGTATATCTGGTACACATTGCTGTTATATCACTTAATATTTTTATTTTTATTAATTACGTCCTCTTTCCCCTTTATCAGATCTTTTGTCCGCTCGGTCACTCGCATTCACTCTACGAGGAGTGTCCGACATTCAGGAATCTTCCTGGGGTGCCCCTGCGATACTGATCAGAATATGAAATGAAGCAATACAATATATTTCACCTTAATTATTACTATCCCTTTTGTTGGACAGCTCGACTTCTCGTATTCATTCTAGAGGTGGATAAAACCCATCCAGCTCACTAAAGGGAGTCGATTCTTTTGAACAGCTCTTCAGTTCACATTCAAATTATAGAAATTATGACACAAATTCAAAATCGGTAAATTAATTAATGGTAGAGAACATTACTGTGAACAACTTTGCTGAAGACTATAACTTTTGAGCTCTTACACGGGAAAAAAAGAGTTCCCATATTCGTGAACCACAGCCGTGAACCATAGTTCACGGTGTATATTTGAGAAAATTTTGTTCTGGATAGTTGGCCGTGATTTTTAGTTCACGGTCCGTTCCCGTTTTCGGGAACGGATTTTTTTCCGAGTATGACTGCTGAGATATAAAGGTTTTCTTGTGGAGAAATAGTTAAAATCAGTTTTGTATCTGTAACTTTTTCTAAAATATTTTTACATTTTTGGCATATTCTACAAAAATGTAAGAAATATCAAATAACATATCTTTTTAGAAGACTGCAAATTGCTATCATTAATATTTGAAAAGTTATTTACATTTTTTGGATGAAAATTACCCAACTTCCAACACCAAAAACTTCTAAACGGGCAAAAACAAGCAGGCCATTCTTTTAACGATTGAAAGTACAATAAAATACAATAAAGTGGTGAAGAAACCAGACCGCCCCTTAACCGAAATACTTGCATTGAAACTTGTCACTTTTCAGAATTTTAAATGGTGATTTTGTGAAACCACGGGACTTTTTTTTATAATCCATTTATTTGTAAAGGCTCAAATGCGGTGGCTTTGCGGAGCCAAATTAATTTAAATGTAATTTTTTATAATTTGTTTTACAACTAAAGCTAGTAGAATGGGGGCCGAATACTCGCGGTTTACTCGAGATTAATAAATATACATTTATTTAGAAGATTGGAAGGGGACAAAGGGAAAGGGATATTGGTAAATATTTTTTTTTTGCTTCTTTCGACGGATGAGTGTCACTGCACTGTATTGGCGGGCATGTGCTTTGGATATCGAAGCATTGAAAGCACATCTGAAATGATACAAGAGGGGACTTGGGTTGGGATAGTGATGAGAGAATTAAAACACAAAACACTGCTACATACACAAATCAGCACTTTTTAAAAATACGTAAATTAATCTCATAACATCGAGATCACGGCAAGCCAGAACGTCTCTAATTGGTGTATAAGGTTGTTTCCCTCGGGCCCTGAGGGATTCAATTAGTTCGGATCTCGCCACATGATGTGAGGTGCAGGACCAGACAACATGCTCGATGTCGTGATGGCCGTTTCCACAGGCACACAAACTGCTGTCTACAAGCCCTATGCGGTAGAGGTGTGCGTTTAACGAGTAGTGATTGGAAATGAGCCTGGACATTACCCGGATAAAATCGCGATCCACGTCCAATCCCTTGAACCAGGGTTTGATCGACACCTGTGGGAGGATCGAATGTAACCATCTTCCCAGTTCACCATCATTCCACTTTTATTGCCAGTTGATGAGGACTTGCTGACGAGCAATTGTGAAAAAATCATTGTAGACGATTTGTCGCTCGTAAATATCGCCTTCCATAGCGCCCACCTTAGCCAGCGAGTCTGCTTTCTCATTGCCCGGGATAGAGATGAGAAGGGACCCATACTAAGGTGATGATATGTGAGCTGTTTGATAAAGCACTCAGTGACGATCGTATTTCGTTCAGGAAATACGTCGAGTGCTTCATCGGCCTCATAGAACGCATAGCCTCCAGAGAACTTAGACTATCCGAAAAAGTGAAATAAAGATCAGGGGGACGTGAGGAGATCTGCTCTAACGCATACAATATAGCTGTTAGTTCCGCAACGTATACCGAACATGGTTTTTGAAGCTGATATGAGGCGCCATGGAGATCATTGTATACACCAAAACCAGTGGAAGTATTTATTGTGGACCCATCAGTGAAAAATCTCTTCTCGGCATTGACGTGGCGGTATTTATTCGCGAATATGGATGATACAATCAGGGGGCGATGGGGCTCTGGTATTTCTTGAATTTCCTCCCTCATTGTGAGATCGAATCTTACGGAATAACAACTGAAATCGTGGGATACTTCATTGGTATTGAACGGTGAGGGGCTAATTTCCAGAGTCATGTACTCGTAGTACAAGCTCATGAAACGTGTTTGAGGATTTCGCTCAAGCAGCTTCTCAAAATTCTCGATCACCAACGGGTTCATGACTTCACAGCGGATAAGGAACTGAAACGACAATTCCGCGAACCGATCTAATAAGGGAAGTACGCCCGCAAGTACTTCCAGACTCATTGTATGCGTCGAATGCATACAACCTAGTGCGATTCGTATACAACGATATTGAATCCGTTGCAGCTTCAAGATGTGGGTGTTCGCCGCCGATTGGAAGCAAAAGCTACAATACTCCAAAACCGATAGAATGGTGGTTTTGTAAAGTCTTATCAGATCTTCCGGATAGGCTCCCCACGAAGTGCCGGTGATACAACGAAGAAAATTGATTCTTTGTTGGCACCTCTGACTCAGATACGCAACGTGTTTTTCCCAAGTGCATTTGGAATCGAACCAGACATCTAAATACTTGAAAGACATGCTGTGAGTGAATGTTTTACCCATAAGTTGAAGCTGCCACTGTGCTGGATAAAGCTTCCTAAAAAAAACAACCATCTCAGTTTTCTCCGGAGAGAATTCGATACCCAGATTCATTGCCCATGTAGACAAATTATCCAAGGTATCTTGCAATGGTCCTTGCAGGTCCGGTGCTGTTGGTTCAACCACGGAAACCACGCCGTCATCTGCAAGCTGCCTTAGCGTGCAATTTTCGGCAAGACAATCGTCAATGTCTTTAACATAGAAGCTGTACAGAAGGGGACTTAGACATGAGCCCTGAGGGAGGCCCATGTAGCTAATTCGTGAAATTGCCGAGTTGCCATGTAAGAAGCTCATTTGTTTCCCGGACAATAAATTGTACAAGAAATTATTGATAGTTGGTGAAAGCCCACTGGTATGGAGTTTGTCCGAAAGGATGTCGATGCAAACAGAATCAAAAGCCCCTTTAATGTCCAAGAAAACTGAACCCGTCTGCTGTTTTTCAGCGTAGGCTAATTGGATTTCAGTTGAAAGCAACGCAAGGCAGTCATTCGTTCGGTTGCCCCTTCGAAATCCAAATTGCGTATCTGAGAGTAAGCTATTCGCCTCGACCCACTTGTCCAAACGAAAAAGAATCATTTTCTCCAACAATTTCCGAATGCACGACAGCATCGCAATGGGACGGTACGAGTTATGATCCGACGCGGGTTTACCGGGTTTCTGAATGGCTATAACTCTCACTTGTCTCCAATCGTCCGGAACAACGTTGTGCTCCAGGAATTGATTGAACAAAGTATTCGTAGGAACCGTGCTTACAAAGTTGTTTAAACGCAGCTGACTTCTCATTATTCGCGTTGGTGCATTCCTTGTCCCACCACACTGGGAGGACGTTTACGAATGGAAGCACCAGGCACTGGCTTCGTTTGAGCTTGAAGCGCGCAATCCACGATGAGGCAAGATAAGAAGGAGTACTCATCCAGAGGAGAGAAAACGTCGATCAAGTCTGAGCCGCCACGGACCGCGTTCGCGTATTTTTCCCAATCGATGTTTCTCGTGAGATCGTATGCGATGTTGATTGGATGTTGCGAAGATGAGCCATTAGAGATCGAGATTTTGATGGGCAAATGATCACTACCATAGGGGTCTTGGATTACCTCCCACATGCAATCCAATGATAGTGAGTTCGAACAAAGTGACAAATCCAATCTGCTCTCTTTTGCTTTTGCGATTGTCATCGTACAGCTCTCCCAAGCCTGTACCATGGGAATTAAAATCTCCTAAGATCAAACGCGGCTCAGGTAACACTGAGCAGATGTCCGATAAAGCTCGATGAGAAACAGCCGTTCTCGGAGGGATGTATAGCGAGGCAATACTGAGGCTTTTACCTCGAATAGTCACCTGGCATGCGACAATTTCAACACCCGACATTGCAGGAAGGACAATTCTGTAAAAAGAGTGACGTTTGTCGATCCCCAAGAGCACACCCCCATAGGAGTCTACACGATCGAGACGGACAATGTTAAAGCTGAGAAGAGAAAGATCGATGTCTGGAGAAAGCCATGTTTCGCAGAGAGCAAAAGAATCACAATTCAGGTTGCTTAGCAAGAATTTGAACACGTCTAGCTTCGGAAACATGCTTCTACAATTCCATTATAGGAGAGATACCGTATCGTTTTTTGGAAAATTATCCATCGAAGGATACGATCGAAGCAACGAGCGGCCACTTGGAAGCTAGTTGCTTCAGAAGAGGTTTCACGATTGGAAGCATCATATCAATGATGTTCCTTAGAGGGTCAGAGATGTTAAGCAAATCGAGAATGCTGTTCACTATTCCAGACAACGTGAACATGGCGTTACGCTGTTCTGGCTGTGAAACTGGGATATCTGGGGTTTTAGATGTTCCCGGAAGCTGCGGAAATGCTTTGTCGTAATCGACAGGCTTGAAACCCGGTGGAACGGGTTTCGGGACATTTCCACGGCCTCTTGATTTATCCAAGGGGGCTTGGAAGTCAGTACTAGTGCTGTTTTTAGTTTTCTGCAAACCATTCCTGGCTCGCTTCCTAGAAGGACCTTGGAAAACAAAATGAC